AATACAGGAATTATATTAAGATTTTTTCAGAGTGGACTTCTAAATTTGTTCCATTGTTAACTAAGAAACAGAAATTTGAATGGAAATAAGAGCATTCAAAGGCTTTTGAGCAAATCAATAAAAAAATCACCGAAATTACTTATCTTTCATTTCCAGAATTAGGAAAACATTATACTATTTATACTGACGCATCATATTATGATATAGGAGCTGTATTGACTCAAATTGATAAGGACACATATCAAACTAAATTCATTTATTACACATCGAAGAAATTAAATGAAGTACAACAAAGATGGAGTACGGTTGAAAAAGAATTATTTGCTATAGTAGTAGCATGCGAAACATTCTGTTATTATATTAAAGGATCTATGACCTTAATTAAAACATGTTGTAAAGGTATTATTGGGATGGATGCAATTAATACTGGAAAATTATATCGATGGAAGTTAAGACTATCTGAATTTAACTTAGAATTTGAGCATATTGAAGGAGTTCAAAATAGTTTAGTTGATTAGATCACTAGATAAATAGAAGATGAAACAGATCTTCCTAATTACATGACCTTATATTGTAGTAAACCTCAAGAATTATATGATGATTTATATGTTATACCTTCTTGCGAGGAAATAGAAAATGAAGCAAGAAATGATAAAGATAACATACCGAGAAACGTAGTATGGAAGGATGATTTCCCAGTTCACTATAGAACAGGAGGATTATATATATAATAAAAATATAGAAATCATTTAATGTATTGATCTCATAGTAGTAAATTCGAAGGACCTTGTGGAGTAAATAAAACACTAAAGAAAATACAAAAACATTTTTGGTGGCCCAATATTAGTAAAGATATTGAAGAATACGTCACAAATTTTTTAGTTTGTCAAGTAATTCGTAATAGGAAATTTAAACCTAATAATAACCAAACTTTATCAAAACCGAATGTATTTGATATGGTTTCATTAGATATTATAGGACCTAAAACATGGAAAGGTACAGAATACTTTGTACAAGTAGCAATAAATCATCATTCACGTTTTATGGTGACGAACATAACTAATAAAACACCTAATGCTATGGATGCAATTAACATTATGAAGAAAACATGGATACCCATATTTGGATTCCCTGCAAGCATCTTAACATATCGCGGTTCAATTTATACTAGTCTAGAATTTCATGACTATGTTACAAAAGAAATAAAGGTTAAATTATATCATATTAGCGCATATTATCCACAAGGAAACTGTATAAATAAAAGCTCTCATGAAAGCTTGATTATATCATTAAGACTTTATATGAAGAAAAAGATATACCTTTTGAAGAAATAGTACAAAATGCAGTACTAATATATAATAATACACCTCATGGAGATATATGAGAAACACCCTATTTTGCTATGTTTGGAATAGATTGTATCTGTCCAGGGTTTGCAAAATTAGTACGAGAAACAACTTCTGAAATGAGGATTATATACTTAAACGATAAATGGAAAAACATACATGAAGATGTAATGAAATCAAAAGAAAACTTATAATTGAGAATAAAAATATTAAGGTTGGAGATATTATCTCATACGAATTATCCGAATACAAAAGGAATCAAATGAAACACTATAGTAGAAATATACCATATAAACCATATTGTTCATTTCCTCATAGGGTAACTAAAATTGAAAGCAGAATTCTGAAAGTATTACCTACATATTATAGAGGTAAAGAAGTACAAATTCCAATGTCAAAAATAAAATTGTTGAGTAACAAAACCAGGGAAATATATAAAAGGCAACTGCACAATTTAATACAAGTTACAAATAAGAATAAACGGAAATTAAATCTGACGCATGATTTAAGGTATAAGGATTACCTAGATAGTCATAAACGGAGTAGTATCATAACGGTGATATCAACGATAATCAGGACAAGCAAATTGAAAAAGGCGTACAAAAAGGAATTGATGTAATAAAACAATACAAAAATAACAAACTTTAAGTAATAACAATTACCTTCCCATGGTGGTGGAGTATGGTTAATAAAAGTCTTTATTAACCTTTTTGGAAAATAAAAAGACTAGTTAAATGAAAAATACGAAGTTCATCATACATACACAAACATAAAAAAAATTGATGATTTTTTTTCGTTTGTACTTTTTTTTAAAAAAAAAGTACAAAGACTGTCAGGAAATATTTTGATAAAAAAAAAAAAAATACAAAGATCGTCAGGAAAAAAAATTGATTAAAAAGTCAATTAGAAAAATATTTGTTACCATTAAATAAATATAAGAAAAGAAAAAAAAAAAAAAAAAAATTTTTTTTTTTGGGAATGAATTATGATTTTAATGAATTTTTGTGAGAGAATGTTTTATACATATAACAATGAAATTTTCATGTAATTAACATTCATATAATTTATTTGCGTTTTTACTAATTGTTTATGTTTGTTAATTCAACAGAAATATATTAATTGCTGAATGTAACTCATAATAAATAACTAGTAATTTACAATTAATTAATAATTAATGTTCAATAAGGATTTAAATTTTTAATAAGAACAAAGATTTTTATTAAAGTAAATAAATGTCTATTGAAATTAAAGAATGATGAATGAAGTATATTACGTAAATAAGGATCACTCATTCAAAACATATAAAATATATACAAATACATCAAAACCGTAGAGGTAACTCTATATGCTCTTTATTAATTCGTTTGTTCAGTACTCTAATAAAGTTACCGAACACCCAGTTAATAAAACATGCACAAATGTATAATAAATAAAAATAAAATTGTTTTCTTTAAAATAAATAATCTTAAAAATAAGTACTAAATATATAACGATAACCAGAATTTAATTAATCCATTGTCAACAAATAAAGTTACAAAAAATTTAAACCAACAATCTTCTAATAACTAAAAACTTAATAAATTTTTACTCAATAAACATAACCTTCACCCTTTTCCTTATAACTTGCATATTCCAAATAAATTTTTTAAAATTCAACAATAAAATTTTTATAAAATTTATTCCATGCCATAATATTCAAATAATTAATTTATCTGTTATCTTCTCTTTTTTTTTTAATATACTTATTCATTCTTAATCATAATGTCAACTTAATAATATAAATAAATAAAAATAAAAAAAATTAAAAAAAATGGTAAATAATTATTAAATTTTTAATAATGAAGAACTATAAATATAATCATAAATATTCATAAAAAAATAGGTTTTATCTATAATATTCCTGCGAAAAAAATAATCAACTCCCATAAAAATCATATAAAATGCTAAAAAAAAATAAAACACATTTACTTTGCTCACAGACTTTCTCAGTAAATCATTCATTGTAATTTATATTGTAAAAATATAAATATAAAAAAAAAAAAAAAATAGAACAAAATGATAAATTTTTTTTTTTTTTTTTTTTTTTTTTTATTGTTTTTTTTTCCAGAAAAATCAAGTTTCATAAATTCATCTCACACTTTTCATTCATTTTTTTTTTCAATGTAATGATATCTTGTTTCTAAGAAATTTTTGTTAATAAACTATTGTTATTTTTATTTTCTAAAAACATTATAAGATATATTTTAAAAAAAATAATCAGAAAAGAATTTAAATTTTCTTGTATTCATAGTAAAAAATTCTAAAATAATAAAATAATATCTCAAAGAATGTGAAGTACATATATATACATATATTACCAAATAAAAATTGCTTAATAAAAAAACAAAAAGATTAATATGGTTATAATGAAAAAATAAGTGCATTACTTATTAACTTTTAGCTTTTTTTTTTTTTTTTTTTATATTTTTCTTCAAAAATATAACTAAATTATAATGCACTAACTTGTTAACAAATATTTAAATATTAAAATAAAAAAAAATTGGAATAACTTTAATCTTCGTTTAAGGTTTAATAATTTAACAACAAACAATATAGATTTTTATAATTGTAAGTCATTTTTCCATTAAACTTAAAATATTTTTTTTATTAAAATATATATGAATAATTAAAATATTATATTATAACTACCACTTATAGAATTTACATGTATATATATATATATATATGCTTTTTTTTTTTTACGTATTTTATATTTTATAAAAATATTATTTAGATACTTTATAATGAGAATTATAATTTTTTAAGTACATTATATTATTTGTATATAAACTATATTTTACTTCTTTAATTATATAAATTTACTATTCAAAAAAAAAATTTTGTAAAAATATTATATAATAATTAAATTCTTTATTCAAAATACAAAAATTAAATAATCATATCATTATTTCAAACTTACATTCATAATTATGTGATTATATAAAAAATTTAAGAAAACACAGAAAAAAATTTAAAATAATTTCTTTCTTTTATACTAATTTTTTTTTCAATTATAATTTCATAACATAATATGATATTTTACTATATGAATTATTTTATTTTTTTTTTTTCTTAATTTTAATTTTATAAATTAATCTTTTGTTTTATTAATTATATTTTTTCTTGTTATTTGAAAACTAATGGCATTATTATTACATGAAATTGAAAATTTAATATTCAACACAAAAAGAAAACAAAAAATTCGCTTTACTCTAAATTAATATCTTATATTATATAAAATGCCAATTTCTAATATAAACAAATTTATAATATAGTTATCACATAAGTACAAATATTGTCATTTCTATGTAGAAATTATGACAATTTCCCAATGTAATTCAAGTGTATAATGATGCTCAAAAATAACAAAAATATCTATATTCAATTTTTTGGTAAAATTAAATTATTTTTTTTCCTTAATTGGATTAACGAATATTTTTTTAACATTTCATAAATTTAAAGTATAAAATACATACATACACATTACTTTTTGGTTTTGTTGAAATTTATGCATTTATCTATAATTCACATAAAAATTTCTTTTCTTTAATTAATCAATTTTTGAATACTACTGCAAAGTATTTTGAGAAAGACTTTTATGATGATATTATAATCATGAGAAAAAAATCAATCTTAAAGAAAGCAAGATATTTATCACAAGCAGAAGAAACTTCCTGTATATTAGATGAACAAAATGGTGAAACAAAAGAAAATGGAGATAACTCTAGTGAAAAAAGTAAACTCAATACAGAAATTAAAACATTTGTGGAAGATAGTAATAATGAACTTAATTTTTATCTTGATGACGAAGAAATTAGTAATGCTACAGAAAAATGTCAAAAGTCATCCTCATATGTAAATTGGAGAGGAATGGACTTTGTTAATTTAGTATTAAATGAAGAAACAGATCGTAATATCTCAAGTCTTGTTAATTGTTGGAATAAAAAACAAAGTTTTTTCGAGACACAAATACGTATGAAAACAAGTCCAACATGTAATTTGAAAAATTTTGATTATTGTGCTGTTTTGAATAAAAATGATAATTGCACCAATCCTTATAAAGATAGTGATTTACCAGATTTAATACCATTAACATATAGCCAACTCAATGAGGATCAATATCAATCAAATAAAACTAAAATTATTTATGATAGACTTACTAAGTTTACTAATATTACTAGTGATATATCTAATTACTATTATAAAGTATATGAAGCTAATAAAAGTCAACTTAATTGTGGAAAGTGGAGTATGTACATACATAAGAGAGGAAAACAATTTGTAAATATGGTGTACAATGAGTTTTATTCCGAAGAATCTTTTAGAAAAGATTCTACTAATATTTGGAACACTTATAGTAATAGATTGCAAAATAGTATATTAAGTGAAACAGGTAATCCTTGTAATATGACATCACTAATTTATGAAATTAAAAAGAGAGAAAACACAAGTGACCCATATGGTTTAAATTGGATTACTTCAGATAACCAGGAAAATTCTAATGGAACTTTATATCCTACAACTCCATTACCAACTATTACGCAACCTACAGCGGAAACATCAGATACATCACATGTTAGGAATGATGTAGATCCATTAGATGATGATGCAAAAGCTAGAATTGGCGGTTATAGGGATTCTAAAAATGTTACCCTAAATGCTATAGCATCACCGGATGATGAAGATAAAGCTTCAGCGGCTGCAAAAGCTACAAATGCTGTTCCCCTAGAAGATCCATCAAAATCCCATTCTTTAACTTCAAATAATACGAATGGATATGGCTCTAAAACTGATCCTTCAATTTTACCTTCTCCTATAAATGATACCGATACGCATTCTAATACTATCATTAGATCTTCTGAAAACAATACTACACCTTCTCCTGAAACCGTAACTTCTCCTGAGACTGTACCATCTGTTACACCCATGTTTTCTTCCAGTACCAATTCATCTTCCTCAGAAATTCCTGCATACCCTATTGATGGGTCTACTAATTCTACAACTAATGTTGGTTCTTCTCTATTGAATGGTACACTTTCTACAAATAGTCATTCATCTCCTGCTATGGATATGCCCGAATCTCCCACTCCTATAAGTGTACAACCTATAACTGTTACTGAAATTAATTCTAATCGTACTGCAACTTTTGTAAATGAATCTTTATCTTATACACCTCATTCTAAACCTCCTATGGAGGTACATATTCCTCTAAATAAAATGGAACTTTCCAAAAATGATACTATGTCTCCATCCCCATTTAAATCCTTAGCGCCTTCACATATCAATGCAGCTCCTAATAATACAATTGAATCTGCTACAATAAATAATGATACACAATTATTTGGAAAAAGCTATTCCTCATCACAAAATGAACTTACTCCTATTGCTCAACCTAGTAATTTACCTTTAATCAAAGTTCATGATGATACATTAGCAAATTGTACGAACATATGTACTCCAAATATTAATACCACACAAGCTCCATTAGATGAGGGTACTGAAGTTACCCCTACTGTTAAAACCACAGGAAATGTACTAATAGCAACCGTTTCAGTAGGTATATTCATTTTAGGAATTGTTCTCCTTTTAATTATTATATATAGAGTAAGACAAAATTATTAATTAAAAACTCAAAAAGATATATATATAAAATATAATAACTATATTAGTAAAATTTTCATAATTTTCTTATTTTTAATTCTAATTATAGTGCACTCCTATTGGATCTTGGATTCGTAATCGAAAATCAAAGAAAAAAAAAATAAGAAAAAAGATAAAAAAAATTTCAAAGAAACCAATGCCATCATCTACAAATAATATAGAGGATGGACCAATGAATAGTGGAAATCACTCTTTGTTACAGCATGAAAAACAAATACTACAATGTGAGGTTAGTTTTGAAAGTGAAGGAAATTTGAAACATGAGCAGAGCGAAAAATCCAAAGAACGTAAAGGAATATACAATGAAAAAGGAAATATACGCATTTGTAATGTTACGAAAGAAGGGTCAAATAAGCATGAAAATGAATTTATAAATGAAGAAAAATTAAATAAAGATAATTCTAAAAGTGAAATTGAAAAAATGGAATTGAATGTAGATGAATCCAGAAATGAAATTAAAGATGAATTAAATAAAAATATATTAGAAGAAAATCCTCTTCATGCTGTAGGGTATATTGGGAATGATACATTAAATGAGGAAATAGAAAATGAAATAAATTTGCAAAAAGAAAAACCTACATGTGATTTTGAAATGAAAAATTTAGGAAATAAAAGGTCAATCAAGAATGATGTATGTAATTGGAATTCATGGGTAGATATACATATGACTGCATTACTAGAGTGTAAAAAAGAGGAATGGAAATTGAATAAAAGTGAATTTTTTAAAATTTGCTTAAAAGAATTCGAAAAAGATGGAGAAAATTCTAATTTAAAAGAAATGGGAAATAATTTTGTAATAAAAATAAAAGAAGAAAATAGTACCGATACAACGGATAAAAATAGTAGTATATTAGAGAAATATAAAAATGAAAAGTGGTTTATTAATTTGAAGAAAGAATGGGAACAAGAACAAAAAAAACACTTAGAATATTTAGAAGAGCATGAAATTAAAAAAATGAGAGAAATGGGAGTAAATAATTTTATTCTAGATAAAAAAAAAAAAATATGGAAGAAATGGATAGAATGGCAAATAGAACATTCATACGAATACAAAAATCAGAATTGGTTTTCAGAATTGCTAGAAGAATATGAAAAAGAAGAAATACATGAAAATTTAAAGGAAGAAAAAATAGAGAAAGAAAGAAATAATGGAATAGATAAAAATGAAATGAAGAAAAATTTGGAAAGGAGAATTTTGTTAGATATTCATATGATGGTATTAGAAGAATGTACGAAAGAAGAGTGGGAAAAAGAAGAAGAATTTTTTAAAGCAAATATGGAAGAGATAAAAATATATAAAAATTTGGACGAAGAAACAAACATATTAGATAAAATAGAGAGAGAAAGAAGTTGGAATGTTATATCAGAGAAAAAAAAAGAGGAAATAGAAAAATGGAAAAAACAAAAATGGTTTATTGAGTTAATGTTAGAATGGAAAAATAAAGAAGAAAAATATATAATGGAGATAAATGAAGAAATTTTAGCAAAAAAGAATCAAGGAAGAGTAATAGATATCATTTTAGAAAGACAAAGTAATATATGGAAAAAACACTGCGAAAATATCTGTAAAAAGTGGGTAGAAGATGAAAACAATGAAGAATGGTTTACAAAGTTAGTTAATGAATATGAAAATGAAGAGAAAGAACATGAAAGTAGAATTTATAAAAAAAGTATAGAAAAAGAAAAGGAAAATGAAAAAACCATAGAACGAGAGGAATCAATAACAGAGATTAATAAATTGAAGGAAGGAAAAATGAGAAAATATGAAAAGAATAATTTAGAGGAATCATATGAAATGAATAATTTAGAGGAATCATATGAAATGAGTAATTTAGAGGAATCATATGAAATGAGTAATTTAGAGGAATCATATGAAATGAGTAATTTAGAGGAATCATATGAAATGAATAATTTAGAGGAATCATATGAAATGAATAATTCTAAAATAAACAAAAAAAAATTAAAATGGGAAACTTTAATAGGAATATATATGGTAATATTAGAAGAATGTAGAAAAGAGGAGTGGTTATTGAATAGAGGAAAATTTTTAGAAACCTGTTTAGAAGAATTTATAGAAGAAGATAAAGAAAAATATCCAAAAATAATAGAAAATGATTTAGCAATGATAAAAGAAGGGGAAGAAGACATTAGTACATTGATGATTGAGAAACAAAAACTTTTATGGAAAAAATGGGTAGAAAGAAACAAAAGAATGTCAGAGAAATGGAAAAATGACGAATGGTTTATTAATTTGAAAAAAGAATGGGGAAAAGAACAAGAAAAATATGATGAATTAACAAATGAATCAGAAATAGTAGAAATAGAAGCAGGAAAAAATCCTATGCTAGAAAAACAAAAAAGAATATGGAAACAGTGGCTAAAAAAACAAAGAAAGTGGTTTATACTACATAGCGAGGAAGAATGGTTTAACAATTTATTAGACGAATACGAAAAAGAAGAAGAACGTAAGGAAGGAATAACTAAAAACGATGCGAAAGAAGAGAAGGAAATTCATGAAAATATAGAGGAATTGAAACAAGAAGCAGATGAAGAAATAGAGAAAAATAGACAAAAAAGGGAGAAATTGATACAGAACATTTTGATAGAAATACATATGACGCTATTAGAAGAATGTATGAAAGAAGAATTGCAAAAAGAAAAAGAATATTTTTTTAAAAAAATGGTGGAAGAGTTGAGAATACAAGAAAATTTAGATGAGGATGTTAACATACTGGAAATAAGAAAAAAAAGTAGGAATGTTATATTAAATAATGATAAAGAGAAAATAGATGAATGGAAAAAAAAAAAATGGTTTATAGAGTTAATATTGGAAATGAAAAGAAAAGAAAAGGAATACATAAAAGAAATATATGATGAAATGATAGCAAAAAAGAATGAGGAGAAAATTAGAAATCCCATGTTAGAAAGGCAAAAAATTATATGGAAAAAACACTGTGAAGATATTCATAAGAGGTGGATAGAAAAAAATAATAAAGAATGTTTTACAAGACTAATTTATTAATAAAAGAATGAAGATAACGAATAAAACAGCAAAATTTATAGAGTATAGGAAGTAAAAATAAACGTGAAGAAACTGGAAAAATTCGTAAAACAATAGAAAAAATTTTAGAAGTGATAAATAGAATTATTGTTCTTTTTGAATATTTTTTAAGAACTAATCTTAAACATTGCTATATGCTTAGTTATTGATTTATTAATTTCTCATTCCATAATTTTGTTAGAATATTGATTTATTAATTGCTGGTATAATCAATTTTCTTATGATGAACAAATAAATTAAATAAAGAAAGCTTAGAGATAATTATAGTTATTTTATTTAGAATAAAATAAATCATTAGATAAATCATTTATTTTTATTAACTAATATTATATTTTAACTCTATTATTTATTTGTTTAATCTAATTTATACAATACAAATGTAATGTTTAACATTATGTTATTTAATTTTTCATGCAAAAAAGAATAATATCCATTGCATCACCAAAAAAAAAAAACAAAAAATAATTATTTTTTTTTTTAAATGATACTATTTTTTTCTATTAAAAAATAAAAAAGAAATAAAATTATTAGCATTAATTTTTTGCTAAAATTTCCCAAGTCTCCAGAATATAAAACCAAAAAAAAAATAAAATGTTTTTTTTTATAATTTTAAATAGATATAATAAAAAATAAATAAATGAAATATATTTGTTTTTTTTTTTTTTTTTTTTTTTTTTTTTTTTAATGTAATAACTTTTTTATTTTCTTTTCAGTGGTATTATGTATTATTAATTTGTTAAATAATAACTTTTATAGTGCTTTAAATAGTTAAATTAATATAGAGCTTGTAAAATGATATCTACTTATTCTTTTTAATATGAAATTAACCTATGTATATAAATATATACCTATTATACAAGTATCAATTCATAATAATCTTAATATATTTATTATAAAATTCACGCTATTTTGCATACGTCTTATTATTTTTTCATATAAAATATAAAAATAATCAAATTTACTTATCTCCTAAAAAAAATAAATAAAAATAAAACATTCTTTTTTTTTTAAAAATAAAAATGCATATATAATGTTTTTTTTTTATGAATAAATTATTAATATAACATATATTATACAAATATAATTCTACTACATCTATGAAGGTATCCTTTTAAACATAATCTATTTTGTATTTTATTTCTATACACGCAAAAATGATTATAAGCGTTCTCATATATATATCTCTTTATATACTTTTTAATTATTCTTCATGTAACTACATTGCTCTAAAATGAACTTATATCATTCTGTAAATTATTAAAAAGATAAATGAAGTCTTTTATTAATCATATTTCTAGTATTGGACAAAAAAAAAAATTAATAAAAAGCATGTAGAGAAAACGCTACTTATTTTATTTATGATAAAATAAATTATTATACAAATTATTCAGTTTTTGTAATTGTCAAATGTGAATCACAATAGTTATTGGGTTAATTTACACAACACACTATAAAATATAATATTAACATAACATTCTTGATTCTTACACATAAAAAATTATACTTGACAACATCAAAAAAAAAAGTATATGATTATCCTTAAGATTACAGTTTTTTTTTTTAAATTTCTTTTTCAACTCAGTTATTTATTAATTAACCATTCAATGTTATTGCTAGTATCTAACAAACAAATTAATAAATATCATATAAAGAGAATTTTACATATTTTTATTTTTTTTAAATTAAGATATAAATTAAATTATTCATTTTTTATTAATTAATATGAAACATTAATTACGTTAGTTAATTAATATTGTTATTAATTTACATAACATTCCATGCGTCCCACATTTTACATTGCATTTTTAATCTTTTTTAAAAAAAAACAAAATACTCTCCATTTTTGTCCTTAAAAGATAAAAAAATATTTTTTTTTAAGATTTCATATTTTTTTTAAAAAAATAATAAAAAAAAAAAAAAAAAAAATATTTTCTTATGTAATTGTAAGTACACAAAAAAAATATTATAGAAATATGTTTATTTTTTTTTTTTTTTAGCATATTTTTAGTGCAAATATATATATATATTTTTTTTTAATATACACATTTATAAGTTCACATTTTCCACATATTTTATAATGCTCTAAATAAAATATTTTTACTCATTTTATTTTATTAAATATTATTTAAAACGGTTTGATAATATAATTTATAGATTGCATGCTCTTTATTAATTTGTTTGTTCAGTACTCTAGTAAAGTTACCGAACACACAGTTAATAAATCAAATATCGACTATTAATTAAATGTGAATTACTTATTTCTTTGTTATGAGTTATGTTCAGGAATTTAAATATATTGCTATTGAATTAACCAACATAAACAATTAGTAAAAATTCAAATAAATTATGTGAATATTAATTACGCAAATATTTTATTGTCATATGTATAAAATTTTCTCTCACAAATTCAAAATATAAATATTATGCAAATTAAACTCTTTTATGAAAACATTATTATCTTTTTAAAATCTCATTTTTATTGGTACTAATTCTTACTCTCGATTTTTCTTTTACCAATCTTCTCTTTTCCTCTCTGAATATATCATTTAAAAAAAAAATAAATATCTTTTTTTTTTTTAGTTAAAACAACCAACTACGTATTCTTCACATAGATAGTCCTTTTTATAACCAAAAAGGTTAATGAAGCCTTTTAATAATCACTTATGTTTGTTAACTTCAAAGCATTTAATATGAATTGTTATATATGATTAACATTGTATATAAAATATATTTAATTAAAAATAGATAATTAATGAGGATTAAAATTTTTGATTAAAATATATTTCTATTAATGTAAATAAATTACTCTTGAAAACAATAAATAGTTAACAAAGCAAACTTTATAAATATAGTTTACTTGTTTATTGGTTAATAAAAGGTTTCATTATCCTTTTTGGCTATAAAAGGACTAGCTATGTAAAGAATACGTAGTTAGTTGTGCTAACTAAAAAAAAAAAAAAAAAAAAAAAATTAATGGAATATTTTTTTTGAGAAATGTTTCTTTTGAAAAAGATAAAGATAAGAAAATAAAATAAAAAAAAAAAAAGATGGAATTCATTTTTTTTTTTAGAAGGAGAGATTTTTTTTTTACAAAAGATAATAATGTTTTGTAAAAGAGTTTAATTTACATGATATTCATATTTTCAATTTATGAAAGAAAATTTTATACATATGACAATAAAATTTTCATGTAATTAATATTTATATAATTTATTTGCATTTTTAATAACTGTTTATGTTTGCTAATTCAACAGCAATATATGTAAATTGCTGAATATAACTCACAACAAAGAAATAATTAATTTCTCATTTTTTTTTCTCATAATATTAAACTTTTTGAAAAAAAAATGAATAAATTACAAATACATAAAAAAAATAACATACACATAATTTTTAATTATCAAAAAAAAAAAAAAAAAAAAAAAAAAGACGAAATATAATTATTT